GAAAGATCTTGCACAGCTTGAGCCCGAGTTTGGTTTTTTGATATTTGGGATTTGTATAGTACAGATTGTGTATGAAGGCTTATAAAGCCTTCATACATAGGGTTTATAAGCCTTTATAAACCTTCATACATAATCTGTACTATACAAATCCCAAATATCAAAAAACCAAACTCGGGCTCAAGCTGTGCAAGATCTTTCTCCATATATCGATTTAATTTTTTATCATTGTTGAGGAGATGAAATCATTTAGGGATTTTCCTTTACCAGGATGAATATATTTGATTTTTACTTATTTATTGGTGATTTTGAATGCGAAATTTCTCCAGACAGATTTCTTCAGACATAGTCACATATTTCCAAACTCTTCAAAAAAAAGAATCACGATTTTTCTCTTCAATATAAGGGACGGTCGTTATTGAATTTAAAAAATTTCCGTGTGTTAGTACTTGCATAAAGTATTTGTTCAGCATATTTATGACGTTATTTTAGATAAATGTTCTGGTGAATCATTCATTTTAAACAGTGCTCTTTCTCCAGTCGTTGATAGTGTCTGGATTATAAAGTTCTTGAATAGCATAAGGCTAGGTGAAGAATAAATGAAACCAGTGCGGTTGCTTTCTTTTTTGTTGCAAATATATTATGATTTTCGGCTCCAAAATGACGATTGCTTTCCGTGTATCAATACTTGTTTATGCTTTGAGTTTATACTTTGAGGTTTTGCACGATCTGTATAGTTAATTTGTGCACAGCAAATTTTCACAACTATTGTTGCTTATTTTAAACTGCTAATGTGTTGTTTCGAAATTTAATAAAGCTTAACTTGCTTCGAAAATTTTCTCAAATTCGTATTCTACACATAAAATATTCCGAAGAGAAAATTCGTTTATATTGCTGTGTTGATGAGAAAGGAAAGAAAAGGTTGAATATGTTGAAATTAACTGATCAATCGAAATGCTATATGGGATATTGGCTGTTTCTCATAACTCTTTCGAATAAAAGAATAGTAATTTTTTTTTTTGAGATTGAAATTCAGAAGCAAAAAGATAAGGTGAAGGAGCTCTAGTAAGTGCAATTGCATGTAATAGAGTAATCTTGAAAATGTACTAGGTGACTTTTAAATGTGCATTCAGCTTTCGATTCTTCCATAAAATTTTTGCACCACAGAAGTCGTATTGCCTAATGATAACAAGAAGAACGTGGGAATGGTATGTGGTATGGAGAATGAAGCTAATATCGTTACTACGACGTTGAAAAGTGAAGTCCGTCATCAAAAGTGAATCCGTCACCAGCTAACGACATCACATCTTCACTGAAATCTATGAGGAATAAAATAATCATTCAACTCTATGATTAAATTTTTAGTACATTTTTTTTGATGATGAAAATAATCAATAAGTAGGTTTATAGAATTACTGAATTTGAACATTTCAGATACAAATATCCACTGGACGTCGTAATTTATTATTTTCAAATTTTCATTAAGCAAAAATTCAATTGGATTGATAGTTATGCGCTTATTGTCACAACCAATTGGCAAGCCACCAGTTATTGTGGAAAAAATTGTATCAAATTGGTGGAAAGTTTGTATTCTCAGTGAACTATTAGCTGTAGTATATATGTGTATTGTTATACAACCGGAATACAATGAACATACGAAGATTTCCGAGAATGCATTGCTTCCAGCGCTTGTTACTGAACGATTCAGTTATTATCAACGAATTTCGACTTTCCTGAAAGAGCTTCATACTGAGAGGTATTTAATCCTTTTTTTTAATATTGGATTATTTGACTGAATCAACTCCTTATATTTGATATTTGTTATTAGATTATTTTTTTTATAGCGATATTTCCAATTATGTTGAAAAACAGTTCTTGGCTCATGGTGTTATGACTCAAACGATGCGCTTTACAGTAACTCTTCCAGGCTTTGTATGTTTTTCTTTCTTTTCTATTAGAAATTATTTTTTTCCGTTATTATGATTTGATCCACAATCGGAGTTTTTTTTAGTGTTTAGTACTATTACAAGGCCTTCTTTATTAGGGAAAAATTTATTTCGAAATTTTTCATCTGGATAGAGGAGGCCTGATTTCTCTCATAATATTAAAAAGACGTACAAAGTTCTTAAAATTCACCATGTCTGAAAAGTTTCATGTAATTAGCTTCTGTATGTCTTTAATATGAATAAACTTGACGAGGAAACCATATTTTCTACCAACCTTTCACTTTTCCAGAATGAAAATGGAACGAATGTTGTAGGCGTTGTTCGTGCTAGCCGTTCATCATCGACTGAAGCAATGCTTGTGGCCGTGTCAATGACCAAAACAAATTTGGAAGCGTTGGCTGTAGTGTTAGCTTTGGCAACTTATTGTCGAGGTGTTTTCTTTTGATTAAATTTTTTAGAATAATTTCAGATTAGATTAGATGAAATAGCTTGTATTAAAGTTTACTGAAAATACCTTTTTTTATTCAGAACAGATATATTGGGCTCGCGATATTCAATTCGTTTTCGTAGACAATGGCCTGATCGGGCTAACAGCATATCTAGCTCAATATCACGATCATCATCATTCATTCTTGCAATCCGACAAATTGCATTTTCATAGTGGTGCGATCGTTGGTGCTTTTGCAGTGAAAGTGAAAGGTTCAGCATTTGACACGATGAACATTGAGCACAATATGATTAATGGTTTATTACCAAATTTGGATTTAATCAATTTGATGGCAAAATTGGCGGATAAATTTGGTCTAATTCCCGAAGTTTTTCATCATGGATATCAAGAATCATGGTGGGATATAGCTGGAACAACTAGTAAAGCTATGCTCAACCAGGTACTTCTATTTTCAAGGTTACTTAAGTCATGTTTAATGTTCTGGGTGATATAGTGATTATTATAATTATGTATATTCGGTTGAATGTATTTTTTTTCATTCATTTCTGTTTTGCATTTTTATAAATAGGATAGGTATAGACATGGAAATCAGTTCAGTTTGCAAGTTCAATCAAATTTCAAAAAAACACCTGCTGATATTTCAGTATTTTGAAAATCTTGTTTTAGGCCTTCAATGAGAAAGAAGGCTTGCACAGTATTTTTGGACCATACGGCATACAAGCAGTGACTATACATGCTAAAAGTGTTATGGAAGGACATGCATCGTTAACAGATTTGGGTCGAATATGCGAAGGAGCATTGCGGTATACTTTTCAAATAGATTAAACATCTCTTCTTTTTGTTATTAAGACAACTTTGAAGTCTGATGATTTTAAATTAGTTGAATTTTCAATCAATTCACAGCAATAACTTTAAGACCAAGTAGTAGCTGTAGATCTATGAATACTTAAATTGTACATCTATGAATACTTAAATAATAATGATAGCGCCTATGCTACTATAAAAAAATGTTACGCATTCACATGTATTTAGAGGCGATGAATGTATGAGTATCACCTCTAAAACTGCTACCTTAGAATCAGTTTTAGAGTTTTGGATTTTTGCAGATCTCTGAATAATATCCTGGAAAAGTTTCACCAGTCATATTTTCTTTATATAATGACGGATATACGACATTTTCTTTCTGTAGCGTATTACATGCCAGCTCTCGGTCTTATTTTATTTCCATTATTAGTACTGGTAAGTTTGTTGTATTTTATCAATATATCTGCGTTTGCATATCCGCATGTGTGTCTGT